ACATAAATACAGCTTATACATCTGAATAACATATAGGCTACAATTCACAAAGGTTTTGTGTAATTTTGGTCATAATATAACGACAAGTATCAAGTAAGTCAGAAAAATTCTTGGTCCCTAAGAGCTGTCTTGGCGTGCGTTGCCTTACCGTTGGAGTTCACATGCAGATAATGTACCGCAAGATTGTTTATCTTAAATAGTTCTGAATAAAAGTCCGCGATAGCATATATATCTAGCTCTCATGTGGTAGCCACTATATGCAATAAATACAATTGAATTGGATACTTTTTCTACGATGCGCATTTCAGAATATCTGTCAAATTCTTATGAAAATTGATTCAATTGTCGTTTTAAGTATTTAATATGTAATTTGGACGAATCATTTAAAAGTTATCACGATAAGATTAACTGGACGCAACGCAGTAAGCCATTTCGCGTCGCGTCTACTGTAAGGTGATGAGGGACTATACGCTGGGGAAGATGGGCGGTCTAAGCAACGAAGCGCCATCGTTGAGAACGCGATCCGAACGCGGGCAGACGCGTGCGGGCAGACGTCGTTGAAGATTGTGTCAGTTTTCATAGCATTAGAAGCTGGGTTTATTCGGTCGAGTGTGTCTAAAATTATCAGTGTTTCTCCGCTATATCATGCATGTTGTATACATTAAAAAACTTTCCTCTTCAATAACTCTATCTTTTAAAAAACCTGCATCAAATTCCGTTGCGTAGTTTCAGAAATCTAAGCATATATAGGGACAGACAGCGAAAAGGGACTTTGATTTACATTATATTGTGATAGGGATGATATACAATCTTCCAGAATACGAAATAATGAAATTCACTGAAAATTGTATTCGTTAATATACAGTGTGTGAAAGCCAATTGGAATAAATTCATTATTTCTATTACGGTATATGTTTTAACAAAATCCCGAAACACGTTAAATGTAAATTATAATTTGACATACTTCAACGGAAAAATGCTACGCGTACCTTAGACCCCCGTCGAATGACAGGTACAATCCAAAATTTTTTAAATAGGAAGTATAGGCTTGTGAAATATCGTTTGAAAGGTCTCTTCATTCTCTATTCACTCGAAACTTATTGCAATATACTCAAAATTTATGTCATGTTAAGGTATTGATAATAAGAAAATAAACAAAAACCATAGCAATGCTCTTTTTAGATGGCATCCTTTAAAAAACTGTGAATAATTTCCGTGGCAACGTTAGTTCAAAACGCCTTGTCAACTTGTTTTTATGTTACAACATCAGTTGTCAATATTTTAATGTTAGTTCAAAGTTCGTTAACTTCAAGTCTGACAAGTGGTTAGATTAACGGAAATACATAAAATAAAAGATTTAAAAATGTGGTTAGGGAGATAAAACCCGAACACAACAGGAAGTAGCTCGCCTATTTCATCAGAAATTTCCTAATTTACCGGCCATATCTCAAAGAACAATAAGCAAAATAGAGAAACAGTTTCGCGAGTTTGATTGTGTGGGGCAGATAAAAAAAGCAGCTGCCAATGCAATGAGTGATGAACTCAAATTAGATTTGATGCTTGAGTTTGATGAAAACCCACATACATCGTGTAGTAAATAATACCTATATACTCAGGAGTTCATGGAAGACGATTTTGATAGAAGAACTTTCTTTTGTGAGCAAATGATGGACATGTATGATAAGAATATCATCCAATTGGAAGAAGTTGATAGCGATAACATTTTTGAATAGAGAATGAAGATACCTTTCAAACGATATATCACAAACCTATATTCCTATTTGAAAAATTGGGGGTTGTACCTGTCTTTTGAAGGGGTTGAAGGTAGGGGTGGCAATTTTACGTTGAAGAATGTCAAATTATAATTAACATTTGACGTATTTTGGTATTTTTTTTTAAATATGTACAGTAACCGAAATAATGAATTTATTCCATTTGGCTTTTACACACTGTATAAAGATAAATCAGAAACTGCTGTTGCAAAAATATGATTCATTAGTTACAACATTACATGATAAAAAGTGAAACTAGATTCTCAGGCTTAGAATAAATGCAAAACAAGCACTTTACCCAAACACCAGAACTGCAATACTATCGTAGACGCGCGTTATGCCAACCAAGTTGGCCTTTCGGAGGAGAGTATCAGTTTCTTTTATCTCCTTGAGACGCCAACTCGGATGGTAAAACGCGCGTTGAGGAGAGTATATGCAGTTCTGTGGTTTAGGAAAAGTGCTTGTTCTGAAAATTACATGAATTTGGCCATCTTTGAACTAGATATTTGTTGTATATCAATGAAATTTTGCAAATGCAAATAAATTTTCCTTTCAGTGTGGATGACAAGTTTGAGCTGACTTACCCTGTGTGATAAATTTCTAGAGAAACGAGTATTACCGCACGAGCTTAACTTAACATTATAGTGCATTGTTAGTCGACCAAGCATAGCGTTATTGAATCTGTAATGTTGGATAATGGCGGACATGAATTGCATCTTAATTGGTAACAATTTGGATAATTAATCTGGCTTGTAGCCGCGTAAGTAGCAGAGCAATTGGCTATTGTTCGCCACAATGGAGGTAATCGGAACTGGTTCCTGGCCCGGGATTCCCTCTGATGTCTCATTTAGAGCGCCCCCGCGATGGAAAGCTGTCTCTTTTATAATTGCCCTTTTAACATCGATTCATATAAGCTTCGCTGCACACGTAACAAAAGTATCTCTGAATCGTTCGCCGGCCCTTTACGTAAATCCCTGCTGCCCGATCAAAACAACATAATATGCTATAAATCGGATTTGCTAGCGCTCGATAGCGAGTAATGATGCAGTTGATTTGTTCAACGAGATACTAATTATTAACATTCGAATTAATTCGACACTAGACACTATGCACGTATGGATTATCGAAAGAATGGTATCGGGCAAATATGGTGTGTTTGAAATTTGATTTGTACTCGCATTTTATTCGATTGCAATAAATAGTGTAAGACTATCGCTATATTTAATGGGGTAACTTCATTCTCCATGAGAGTCATAATGAACAACACCTTTCAAGATTGTACAGGCCTACTAGTACATAAGATGCAGTGTTTGAAAACTTTGATGTAGTAATGAATTTTATCCCAACAACAAACCTTGAAGATGATCACTTGGTGATCGAAACACTTGTNCCTTTGAGCTCTTACAACATAGAGTTTTTTCAAAATCACCGCTCAGTAGTTCCATAAATTCCATGGAACTACTGAGTACATCATGCGTACTGTCAATAAAAACATTATTAGTATTTGATTCTGGTAATCAGAACAGGAACACAGTCGATTTTTCGTTATTATTATCATTATTCTGGAGTCAGATTCTGCAAACACATTCGTAATCGTTCTTTTATTTTTAATTCCAGGTTTGGTTTCAAAATCGTCGCGCCAAATGGCGGAAACGTGAAAAGGCAATGGGAAGAGAAACGCTTCCCTATATGAACCCCGGAGACCAGCACCTGACAGAATACGGCCTGCATGTCCCACCAGTGAACCTCCATTCGATGTCCAATGACCACTTCTGGCCCTCGATGTCGTTTGCGCCTATGTTCAACCCGTCTGTGGGATTCCCCTGGGCTCCCAAGAACCACGCAGTTCCAAACTTCCACACCTTCTTGTCCCAATACGTGTTGGCGGGGGGAGTTCCTCATTTCAGCCTGCTGAACTCTGCTGTACCAGAAGAGAGATCTTCAAGTTCTAGTCCGGAAACCCCCAGTCCTTCGCAGCTATCTCCCGCTGCCTTGGAGGCCCTCAGGGCGAGGACGCAGGAGATCCTCATGCAGCCTGAATCGCCCAAAAAGTTACAAGCAAATTCGTAGACTGAATACGGATTTCATTCAGAGTGCAATAAAATCACATTTCATGTGGTTTCCAGTAATAAAATGAAGTTGAGGACACTGAATTTCCTTGGTGAATTTCTTCAATCTTCGAGGGAGTACATCCTGCTGATGCAGTTAAGTTTAAAACCCTTCTGTGGTACTCCGGACTCGCAGAACGAGAAGGGATTCTAAGAGGATGCATATCGTATTCTATGGTCATTATAGAAAATTCTTTATATATTTTTGATCTCTGTTATAGTCACCAAGTGACGCGAATAAGATACTTTTCTTGATGAACAACAGGTTCCTTTTATTAGATTTTTTTTTGCATGATTTATTTTTTCGATATTCCTTGTTCCTATCTAATCAAACCTTCTCTGATTTTTTTGAAAAAGATATATCAGTGCAGTTTCAAATTATTAGAAAAACCACACTTTTAAAAACTGCTCCTGGCTCTTTGATCGGAGTCTGTCTAAATTTTACACTGAATATTTATTTGATCGTGGAGACGACCCTTGAAAAGTTCGAGAACATTGTAAAGCTTGTTTTCAATAACATGGATAAGTTGCAAATTATCTTGTTTTGAATATGTTGTTTATTAATTCAGTTATGATAATGGAAAATAGATCAAACCAGGAATTCACCATCAAGACCAATGTTCATAACTTCCAAAACAGATCAATTGAAGATTCACGTGCAAGAAGAATTAGAAAAATAATCAGTTACGTCATTTCAAAGTGAGTTGCCAAAATTTCATCTAAAATGAACTATTCATGAATGAGCAATGTAAAGTTGAATCATCAACTTCAAATTGAAAATTAAAAGAAAAATCCATAGTTTGCAAAACATTGCGAAAGCCTAAGTGTCCACAATAATATGGAAACAAGGTACATGGTGCCTAATATACCATGGAACAGAATTTCTAATGAACTAAATAAGAAATTCAAAAGTAATTTGATTTGAATAATAAAAAAAAATATTATCATCTATTTTGTCATTCCTAAATTTAATCAGATATGGAAAACTCCAAGTCAAACTCTCCAACCACAATACTAAATATCACGGTTTTCAGATTAATTTATTTTATCTTTCATTATTTTGAAAATGAAATTTCAACTCGACTAATCTTTTCATCAGTGCTAAAAGTTGAAAGAAAATGAAAATAATGAGGAACTCAGGCGCATTTAGGAAATCAAAAGGCATTGTAGAATCTTTATCGAAGCTGGAAAGTCCGTTTTGAGAAAACTTATTTTTGTTGAATTTGTATTCATTATATCATTTTAATTGTGATAGAGAAATTATTTGTATCTTTTTTATAAGATTGAAATATTCCTTCAATCAAAATTTTGGCATCTCACATTGATTTTAGGCAAGGGCTCATTTTGTACGTGGAAAAAACCTGAGATATCGAAAATTAAAAAAAAAACAACATTTTCCATGCAGAAAATCTTATTTCCTTTTTGCGAGGTCGCGGTTTGGATCACTGTGTGAAACATATCAACACCATGAAAAACACGGAAATTTATGATAAATAAAAAAGCAGTAACTCAATAAATTGTTTGACAGTTTTGAAAAATGATCCGCTCGAAATGTTCGAACTTTTCAGAGGTTGCTCGCTCTCATTAATGAAGGCTTTTTTCGTGACTCATTTGTAAAATATTGATATCGTGTTCCACATCGAACATTCCATTGTTAATAATTCACAAATTGAAGATTTTAAGTACCACAAATTGAATCTGAACATTTACTTAGCAAACTAAAAAATAAAAAAGGGAGCTCAACAGATAGATTGCTTGTATTCCAGTATTGTCAATACCCTAAGAAAGGTTCCAGAACTTTTGCCCAGGACGCCTCCTTGACCAAAAACGGCCTTGAATTAAAGGGTCCTGAGTACTATAGGGTGATCCCGAGAATTAAATTTTCAATTATTAATATTATCAACTACATTCACACAACCATTTATCAGTAATCATAATAATGGAGGTAGTCGTTTGTTTACTAGGAAAAAATACCAACATTTTGGTTTCCTTTCCAAAATGTTTTAAAGAGTAAAATAATATGACTATCTTGTATTTCATTCAAAATTATAGTACCTATTTTTTCGTGGTTCCTCACTTTTCGTATTCCTCTCGACAATAACTTCAAATGCCAAATACGTGAAGGACCTTTCAATTATATTTTATTTATATTTTTTCACATATGGAGAAGAGTGGTTCTTCGAGAATTCGGTCTGTTCAGAAAGTAAATGATACTCTTTTCAGCTGGCCGAGCTTTCGGTAACAATTGGCTTCATCGAATCTGAAAAAAAATCGGTGCCCTTTCTTATTTCTAAAGTTATAGTTCTCTGGCAAAAACATAACAATCTGCACTGATAGTAGACATGCCCTATTAGCCTTGAAAACAACGTGTTACCTCAGGGCTAGTACTAGAGTGCCACCAAGATTTAGCCAAAGACTCGGTAGATAACAACATTATCCTGAAGTGGGTTAAAGGGCATGACAGGAGTGAAAGTAATCGCATTGCCGACTCTTTAGCCAAGGAAGTGGCTGGACTAAGAATTTTAGGACCCAGTGGCACTTACGGCCTGATGACTTCGACAATTGCGGAGCTAGCCTAATGTTACACCTATGCTCCAACCCTAAAGAGATAGGATGGAATCAAAGGATGTAATGTTGCCACGATCACCCTGGGCGACCTTGGGAAGCTAGCGCCGAAGAAGTATCTCAGGATGACCAGGAAAAATCTACGCTTAACAGTAGGATGTCTAACTGGCCACTGTCAACTAAGGAAACACCTCCACAATATGGGGCTAGTGGACACACCTCTGTGCAGGATGTGTGAACAGGAAGATGAAACTGTCAGGCATGTCCTATGCGTGTATCCGGAATTATCGTCAATAAGAGAGTGTATGATCGGCGAGTCTTGGCCTACACCTGCCGATATGAAGGAGATGTCTCCCAGAGACCTCTCCACCTTCCTGGAAAGGACAGGATGGCCATGACCTAGGAGGACAACCCCTCGGGAGGATGATAAATGGGTCACATGTGGCCTACTGCTGTAGGCCTACACTCACCCTCCCTACTCTACAGATATAGAAGGTCGGTTTCTTATGAGCGACACATAATCGACTGCTTCGGATTCTCCTGCACACTCTCACAGACAGCGGCGATGTTTTCAGTAGATCTTACGTTTCGTCGACGTACGGGTGTTGGTCGATCCTTCACTCAACCAGTGGACTCAAATTTATCCACCACGTTGCGAATAGCCCTCTTGGTAGGACGATTATGGCGACCAAAAATGGCGGTGCGCGCGGTACGTTGCCCGAACAGAACACCAATTTTGAGAAAACAATGCTATTATTTGCACCTGTTGTTGAATGCTATATCTGTCCATGATGATTTAGCCAAACAAACTGAATGAATGACAACCAATTTGACAGATGTAGCTTCAAAAAGATGGCAATTGTCAATTGTTATAGTTCTTGTTGGATTTATTCACTATGCTTTTATTCGTTGCTTTCGTTTGCTTTTGTAGTTTATGTGCAGTAAATCATCTGTTGAGATGACAAACTGTTTCATTTGAGAGGAAAAAATTTGTATCACAAAAATTGAAACAACTTCGATAACGTCGTTATTCAGTTTGTATGTAAATTGGTTTTGTGAATGTTACTTCGCATACGAAATAATACAGTTTTTGAGTAGGTACTCCAATTGTGATAGTAAAAATTTATTTCAAAAGATTATTTCATAAGATTAACAATAGAATCCCAAGAGTTTCAACTGTAGATAGATGTAGTTTAGGATTATTGACATAGACAATAACCGCCATTTGGAGAAATTGAATATGAAATAAACCATGTTCAGACTAAAGAGAAATATTGTAATATATTGTAATTAGTGATATTACTGAAAATACATATGATGTTAATATTTACTTGTTGTTTTTGTTATTTAAAAACTCCCACCACAGTAAGCCACTGAGTATTTTTCTCAAGAATCAAATTGATCGTCAAGCAATCAATCTCACTCGAAATATTTGCAATTGAGTCAAGTAGCTCTTGCATTTTAACACAGAACTTCATCAAAGAAATTTTGTTTCTAGAAAAAATTCGTGAATTTAATTTTATTCAAATTATAATAATAGAATTCGCTGGCTGTTTCAGGAAGCTTGAAAAATGGTTCTGATACAGATTCTGTGAAATATGTTCTTCCTTACGAATCAGTATATAGTTGTTTGAATGGTTTAGACTTTCATGGCTGAGGTTTTCAGTGTCATTGCTTTTCGAGTTAGCTTTTCGAGGTTAGGTTTATAGTTGTCCTGAAAATCTTGCGAAGAAAATTGGATAAGATAATTTAGGAAACACTTGCTGCATGAATAGCATTTTACAAGTGTTGTTCATGACGAAGAATCAAGATCAAGATCTTCAGATGATGTGGTGCTGCAGGTTTTTCCGGGTTTTCCTACAGCTGAAAAAGCAAATGCGCCACTGGAATCAATGAAGTCGACCCGGAGCGCCAATTAATTTTTGTTGTTGTTTCATAATTTCATGATTTGTATTACTTTCTCGATGAATAAAACTACTATTGATTACTAAAAAAATTGGGGTGGAACACCTTTATCAGTTAGAGGTATAGAACATTGAAACCTATCCTCAGACCAACCGAATATACATAAAATTTCATGAAAATCGGTTAAGTCGTTTCCGAAGAATATGGCAACTAAAGCTGACACGAGAATTTTATATATTAGATAACGTTTGTCAATGAATATTTGACTATTCTGCTTGGATTTTTGATTCACCTGTTTTTCATAACTCACACTCCATGACGGTTCTGATTTCTCCCAACTAGTCACTATTCCCCTCGACGGTAAATTGAAAAAGAAAATTGTCGTCTCGGAAATGTACCATTCATGAACGCGATTAATTTTTAAGTAATTTAATAATTTCGTCTCTTTTTGAACCACAAGCTCAAGTTGATAATAGCTGCATTTTAAGTGAT